TCCAGCTCGGAAGCCATTAACTCTTGACGTGATTTATGACAGAGGTCTCATCGGTGTTTACCATGATTGGTTAGTCACTTTTGTTGTTTATATATTTGATCAAAGCAAAGACTTAGATATATTATCTCTCTTGTTCTGTATCTTAGCCGTTGCCAGCATTGAGGATTGAAATATCTTCTATTTCGCAATTCCTGAGATTCAAAACCGTATTATTTGTTTGTTGCAGGTGTGAACCATTTTCAACATATCCCCGCACGTATGATTTCATCCATGTATCAGGAATTGAATCACTGATTAAACGACAAGACTCAAGCAAATCGAGGTATAACTAACTTAAAACCATTCTTGATTTCGAACACAGGTCTCTATCTTATTTACTTAACCTAAACTGAATGGTCTGATATGCATGCAGGTGTAGTCTAGTAGATCTAATGGTAGAGATGGACAGAATATTGCGTCCAGAAGGAAAGGTTGTGATCCGAGATTCTCCTGAAGTGCTAGACAAAGTCGCACGAATGGCCCATGCTGTAAGATGGTCTTCTTCTATACACGAGAAAGAACCTGAATCCCATGGAAGAGAGAAGATCCTTATTGCAACCAAATCTCTCTGGAAATTGCCATCAAACTCCCACTGAAGACACAAAGAAAGAAGAAAGGAAGAAGCTCTTCTCAATCTTGTAGGTACTGTCACTTTCTCTCCAGCACCCATCTGTCTGTCCCTAAGACACCAACCAGATGATATACTTTTTTTGTGTGTTCGTGACATTGCATCTAAATGTATTACAATCGTATAATGTCCTGATATTGTTAATTCTTGGTCACACGTGGTTGTGTCAGTGATTTATGTGAGAGGGGTCTACCTTTTAGAAGCAACTTGTGACCTACATGAGTAAAGTATGCATGTGACTCTGCGTATAGTTTTGTACTAGAGACCATGTATTAGTAGGTGCACGTCCTGGATACGTATTTATGTATTGAACAACTCCCAACTTACTGACAATTCCTATGATTCAATGTTTTAGTAAAAAAAAATTGTTGTGGTTTTATGGATTTTGGGTGAGAAACGGACACAATAGAAGAGTTCTCTTTTTCAGTACTTGATTTCAGGTGGGGAGACATATTTTGGTAAAAAACCTGAGAGAGAAAGAAGTCTCCAATTGGATTGGAAAAAAAGTTGAGGACATTAATGCAACAAAGGTTTGGTCGTCCCGTCCTCTTTTGAACCATATTTGTTGTCTCAATAAATGATCTTATGCTATAACGTCCAAGACAATCTGATCGTTTTATTTATCTGTTTGAACATAACATCATCGACACACTAGAGGATTCAATTAGATGTGACTAGTCTTGATGGAATTTTCTTGTAGAAAAGTCTAGTCTTTGCTATGTTTCAAACGGTCTTTGGTTTGTTTCTATGTTCAATAATGTTATATAATGGTAAATTCACAGATATTTAGCAGCGGTATAGTTCATTATCTTGTTATCGTTTTCAAATTTTATTTTGAGGTTGAAAGTTTCACATGAACATGGTCGATAGTCTGGTCTTTTTGATGTTAACATTCACATAACACTTGGAAGTTTTGAATTTCAATTTTATGGCTTTGGCAAAAAGAGTTTCAACTTATTTTTGCTTTGTGCCTTTATGGTAGAAGTTTGATCCAGTGCTGTTAATTGGAGTTGAATAGTTTGTGCTTTGTGGTAATCTAGTAATTACCAAATTTAACCCAACAATGAAAATGACGTTGTCCTTTATATCATCAAACAGAGGAATGAAAATTCCTCTTTACTTTTCAACCTTTTATTCACCAAACTAATTTCTTCATGACTCTGTCACACCAATAAGAGAAGCCAGACCACATTTTCATTTTGTGGCAGACTCTTCTTTCTTATGTGTAAATTATTTTGTGACAAACTCTTGCTGGTCGGTTATTCTTTGGAACCGACATTCCCATGTGCTCCAAACCGAACTTAACCAGTATGATCCACTACTTCCCTTCTTCTTTTGAAATTGTTTTCCATGATTTTTGTTGTTTTCATTTATTTTCAGTGCGATGATCCATATATTCGGTTCAATTAATTCTGCCTTTGTAAACACTAAACTTGTATGTTTATGTTTTCTGTCCTCAGTTATGTTTAATCGAACATGATTTATATACATATAACAATTGTTGAGCGATTTGGTTGATATTCTATAAATTTAGGTCCGCTATAAAATTTATCACTGAAATATTTACATTTCATGTTGTTGGGATGATTTTCCGTAAGTCATATGTGAACACCATTTTGACCGGAAAAGTCGACAAATTATCCTGTTTTCCCCAAAAAAAAATAACTCACGTAAAGGGTTCAACGCTTTGTTTGCTAACGAGGAACTCTAAGACCAACTCCAACGGAAGTTCTGTCCCTAGTTCTCTCCCAAATTTTAACAAATAAAATAATGAAATAAAATAAAAAAAGAAGGAAAGAGAAACATTTGTGAGAGAATTGATTCTGAAAAGTCTTGTTTAAGAGCCGCATCCATATTTTGTAAAGACTTCACTTGCCAGTTTTTTTGGTAGAATTTAATTACTTACTTTAAATTTAATGATATAAAAAAATTATAATAAAAATATTGTATTTTATTAATCAAACACACTTTTTGAAAGCCTCACCGTTGAGGATGCTCTAAGAGCTCCAATCCATCTGGGAGGCCTAAAAAGAGATCCTCTAGTCAGTCGTCATGTTGACCTTTATGACTTAAACATCAGAAACTCGGAAAGACAAACTCATCTTCGTCCTTTCAAAATTTGTCATGGCCATATTGTTGTCTCAAGAAGAAACATTTTGAACCAAGAGTCGGAAAACAACCATCACTTGGCATTACTATTATTTATATAAATGGTCTAAATTAATGGGTATCTTCCATTACCAACTAGAATACGCACAAATTAGCATTAACCGCTATTCCTTAAAAAGCTATATGTGCAGAGTAAGGAAGTACATTTAAATCAGTGAGCCAAATTTTCTCAATTATCAAATCTAATAATTGTACTTAATAAATTTACCAAATCCTCTCACCATTTAGGGCATAAAATTTTGCTCAATAATGGAGCTTAGAAAAACTAATTATGGAATGTCTTTTTTGGTTGACACAAGCTCGCTTCTTCATGTCGTTTACTTTAAAAACTAGATTTTAACCCGCGGTACACCGCGGGATGATTTAATTTTAAAGTTAGTATAAAAATATTTTATAAATTGTATCTCCTTATAACATATTTATTTATATTATAGTTTACAATTGTTATTAAGTAACGGTATACCACGAGTCCACGAGATAATTATTAATAAACTGAGGATTTAACCCGTATTAAAGCGGTATATAAATATTGATTCAAATTCGTCCGCCATATAAATCATTTCCGAAATATAACCCGTTCCGTAATTTCTTAACTCGTCCTGTGATTTGTATTAAAAAAAATAAGGATTAAATCCGTATTGAAGCGGCGGATTAACGATATTTTAATATTTTTATTATTGTTGATTCAAAAACCCGTCCCGCCAAACTCATCCCGCCAAAAAACTCATTTATTTTATTAATGTTCTTATTTATGATATGATTCTGAATCATTGTCTAAATATTTTAATCGATGTAGAACGTTGAACACACATTTTCGTCAATTGGATAATATATGTCCGTTTTTAAAATTTCGAATCACAGTATATGCAGAAAAAAAATTGATTTTTTTTTTATACTTTATGTATTATATGATGATTCAAAACAGTTAAAAACAAATCAAACAAAGATGATAGGAGAATCATAATTATAAATCTTAATCAAATCTTCTAAAAATCTAAATTATTAAATATGGAATATCCGGTGTATGAGTTGGATTAAATATAACCCGACCCAACAAATTTTTTGTGAAGGAATTTTTAAAATGGGTCGGATATCCGATATACCCGAAAGCTTTTTTATCCACCCGTCACAAAAAGTGCTGCGATTATACTAAGTATAGATTGTAGATTCTTTCAAAACTTAAAAGATTCTATAGCCTTATTTGATTATAATTTAGGAGGAGGAAGTATAATATCTCAAAGTATAAAATAAAAATGTTCATCTCAATAATTGAAAAAATGCATATATATGGATTCATGAAAATCTGGTAACGGTTGTGGGTGCTAGAACAAAAGTCTTTCATATATTCAGTTTTATCTCTTAAAATTAATCAAAATGGTTTTATGTATTTTTGGCGAGTAAAGAGAAGAGTAACGCGAGTAGAGAGATAAGGCGCGTGGGATATAAAGAAAGCGTTATAAAAAGAGCGAAAAAGTCAACCGACTAGTTCTTGTAAGAGAGTCTCGTGCATTCGTAAGGTTTCCAAGAGTCCACATATCTCTCCTCATCATCCTCTTAACGTTTTCCTCACTTTTTTGCTTACTTTTTTTTCTCCTCTTAATTAATTCCGTTGATAAAATTGCTTATAATCAGAATACAATTAGGGCTAATGGGAGTAAGACCATTCAATCAATGGTTTGGCTTGATTCTTTTTTGAAATTCTATGTTTAAAAAGGGTAATACTTACAAACTTGACTTTATTATCTGATATATTATTTTAAAAAATGGATTTGAAACCATATCTAGTAGAATTAACTTTAATACAGTTTTGGCTTAAGACTCACTACCTTTTCTATCAAAAATATATTATTTTATTTGAAAGATGTTAAAATAAACAAATGTCATTAGCTAGTTCAGTTTTAGCTTTGATTTTAATATAAAGACAATTATGTTAAAATAAAAATAATAAAAAAGTCAGAACGGTTATAAAAGAAAAGTCAGGTCAGTTTTAAGACTAGTTTGAGTCTTTTGGATTTGAATTTAATAGATTCATCACTTTATTAAAATTGTTGAAACACTTTTTAAAACTAAAAAATTGTCAAAATGCATTAAACAAAAATGAAAGGGTAGTAATAAAAGAAGAAAACAAAATCTAAAAAAGCCATGACCGTCCCTCTCATTGTCTTAAAAAACTCAAATTAAAATAAACAAATAAATACAAAAAAAAAAAAAGGGGAAAAAGAGAGTCAATATCAACATGCAAGTGTGAATATAGAGAGAAAGACTCTTCTTCTCTCATCAGTTACCCCAAAACTAGGGTTTACCCATTTCATCTTCTTCCCCACATCACTCTCTGAAAGACAATAAGAGAGAGAGAGAAACACACACAAAAAAAGAAGAAACCATTGATTCTTAAGAGAGAGAGAGACTGAGAACGAAAAGCTCAATGAGAGAGAAGTTGAAACAAATTTCCGCTTTCGTTCTCTTTCTCTCTCCTCCATTTCAGTAATAAATACTCCTCTTTAATTTTTCTGAGTTTCTTCTTCTCTTCTCTTCCTTTTTTTTTTTTTTTTTTTAAATTCTTACCTCTTTTGTGTGATTCAGTTCTCGATCCACTCATATCTCTTTTCGTGAAAAGTTACTCGCTTAATTCTCTAGTTGTTTGTCAAATCTGGTTAGTTTCTGTTGTGTTTTTGATGAACTTCGGTAGTCTCTTCGATAATACACCCGGTGGTGGCTCTACCGGAGCAAGACTCCTCTCCGGTTTAAGTTATGGAAACCACACCGCCGCAACTAACGTTTTACCTGGTGGTGCTATGGCTCAAGCGGCGGCGGCTGCTAGTCTCTTCTCTCCTCCTCTAACGAAATCTGTTTACGCTTCTTCAGGCCTCTCTCTAGCCCTCGTACGACGTCGTCTCCTCTACTAGAAATAATATATGTATTTTTACTTGAAGATAAAAAATGAAAAAACCTAATTTGTTTTGGTCTATGTTCGGACAGGAGCAACCGGAGAGAGGAACAAACCGTGGAGAAGCATCGATGAGGAACAATAACGTCGGAGGAGGCGATAATTTCGATGGGAGTAGTGTGAATAGAAGAAGCCGAGAAGAGGAACATGAGAGCAGATCTGGTAGTGATAACGTCGAAGGTATTTCCGGTGAAGATCAAGACGCCGCCGATAAGCCTCCTAGGAAGAAACGTTATCACCGACACACTCCTCAACAAATCCAAGAGCTCGAATCGTAATTATCCCTTCTCTCTCTCTCTCTTCGATACAATCCATATTATTATCATTATCTCTTTCATTGGATCTAATTAGTTTCTTCTATCTATCAGTATGTTCAAAGAGTGTCCACATCCAGACGAGAAACAAAGATTGGAACTAAGTAAGAGACTTTGCTTGGAGACAAGACAAGTCAAGTTCTGGTTCCAGAATCGTCGGACTCAGATGAAGGTATGAGGAGATATATCAATCACATCTTTAATCCAAAAAACATCGAAGCTTTTTGTTTGGTGGTAATAAGTAATAACATCTTGTGTGAATCAAATCGTTGGCAGACTCAATTAGAGAGGCATGAGAACGCATTATTGAGACAAGAGAACGATAAGTTAAGAGCTGAGAACATGTCGATTCGTGAAGCAATGAGGAATCCAATCTGCACCAATTGTGGTGGACCTGCCATGCTCGGTGATGTCTCTCTTGAAGAACATCATCTCCGTATCGAAAACGCTCGTTTAAAAGACGAGCTCGATCGTGTCTGTAATCTCACCGGTAAATTCCTCGGCCACCACCATCACCACTACAACTCCTCCCTCGAACTCGCTGTCGGCAACAACAATGGCGGAAACTTCGCTTTCCCTCCTGATTTCGGCGGTGGTGGTGGTTGCTTACCGCCGCCGACGGGGATTGATGGGATTGATCAGAAGTCAGTTTTGCTGGAGCTTGCTTTAACCGCCATGGATGAGTTAGTGAAGCTTGCCCATAGTGAAGAACCGTTATGGGTCAAAAGCTTAGACGGTGAGAGAGATGAGCTTAACCAAGATGAGTACATGAGAACATTTTCATCCACTAAACCAACCGGTTTAGCTACCGAAGCTTCTAGAACCTCCGGTATGGTCATCATCGATAGCTTAGCTCTCGTCGAGACCTTAATGGACTCCGTAAGTTCTCAACTATATACAATTATTTTATTTATTTCCTACATTCTTTGTTTAGCTCTCTGATTATTATTTTTGTTTAACAGAATCGGTGGACGGAGATGTTTCCGTGTAACGTCGCAAGAGCTACAACCACCGACGTTATATCCGGTGGGATGGCTGGAACAATAAATGGTGCACTTCAACTGGTAAACCATTATCTTCTTAATCAATCACATTCCGGTTTTGATATTTGGTTATGTTATACTAAACCGGTTGAATATACTACGTGCAGATGAATGCGGAGCTACAAGTTTTGTCTCCGCTGGTTCCGGTTCGCAATGTTAATTTCCTCCGGTTCTGCAAACAGCACGCGGAGGGTGTGTGGGCAGTGGTGGATGTATCAATTGAGCCAGTCCGGGAAAACTCCGGTGGCGCCCCGGTTATCCGGAGACTACCATCGGGCTGTGTAGTGCAGGATATGTCTAATGGATACTCTAAGGTAAACTCTTTTAACCCAACGAAAGCGTTACATAATACTAGTAATTTATCAAAAACATATTGGAATCTTTTTCTCTAAATTATCTGTATTTTGAAAAATTCGATAAAAATGAAGAAAATTAGGATCTCTAGGGTTTTAATTGGGTGATCACTAGACGGAGAAGCTCAAGCATCTATGAGTCTTGTTTTTTAGCCATTACTCGCTGCACCCACTTCACTGTCACTCCCAATTTTTTTTTTTTTCATCTTACGTCTCCAAATTTGATCTTTCCGAGTTTATTCTCCACTCTATATTTATTTTTTCTTTTTTTGTCCTTTTCATTATTCTCATTTTTAATTACTCTTCCCTCTCAAACGTTATTACTTTTAAATAATTTAAGTAAGATTTTATGTCAGAATAGTAAAAGAAAATGATTTGAATAGGCTTTTTCTTCCTCGAATTTTGATCCCCGAACCTTCCGATATTGCTGAAATTTTATGGATCCGGATGCTTCTCTCTCTGTCGGATTCTCTGGATTAGATTTCAAGTTTTCGACAACTGGTGTCTCCAAAATCGAAAAACTCATTTTTCCCAAGAAGCATCTGTCCAAATTTATTTGTGCGCATTTTGGAAAGAACACATTAATTTCATATGCATGTATTGAAAAAAGCTTCTAATCATCGTTTAAATAAATCAATTTTCATGTTTCTATTCCTATCTTCCATGCGGCCTCGTATATCCCGTCTTTATCATCTACAAATAGTATTAGTATATATATTTATTTCAATTGTCTTATTATCTTGAATTTTTATCGTATTATCTTCCATTAAAAATTAGCATCTTATCTCATCGTGCAAGTATATACACTTAGAACTAGACCGGTTCGGTTGGTTTATATGCTATAAATGAGGATTTGATTTCCGGTTTTGCAGGTCACGTGGGTGGAGCATGCAGAATATGACGAAAACCAAATCCACCAGCTTTACAGGCCATTGCTACGGTCAGGCCTTGGTTTTGGCTCGCAAAGGTGGGTCGCTACCCTTCAGAGACAGTGCCAGTGTCTCGCCATCCTCATGTCTTCCTCCGTTACGTCTCACGACAACACATGTCCGTTTTTTACACACTTGTCAATATGCTTAACATAATTAATCTCTGGTTACAAAACTTTTGACCATATATATTACATGCAAAAACAGCTATAACGCCTGGTGGTCGGAAAAGCATGCTGAAGTTAGCTCAACGTATGACGTTCAACTTCTGCTCGGGAATCTCCGCGCCGTCAGTCCATAGTTGGAGCAAGCTCACTGTCGGAAATGTTGACCCTGACGTTCGAGTTATGACCCGTAAGAGTGTGGATGATCCAGGGGAGCCTCCGGGGATTGTTTTGAGTGCAGCCACTTCTGTTTGGCTTCCGGCTTCGCCGCAGCGTCTCTATGATTTCTTGCGGAATGAACGGATGAGATGCGAATGGGATATTCTATCCAACGGTGGTCCCATGCAGGAGATGGCCCACATCGCCAAAGGTCAAGATCAAGGTGTCTGTCTGCTCCGCTCCAATGTAAGTTTTATTTCATATCACGTACTCGTCCTGGTTTAACATTGCTATTCTGACCGGTTAGGTGCTATTAGTTCAGTAAAACCGGTCTGTATAATAGAGTTTCCGGTTTAGCTAATTAGGTGTGTGTGATTGGTTGGGTTTTTGTGGGGAATATGGATGAGGTGATTGTGACGTTTTTGTCCCTGGGGGTGATGGTGGTATGACGGACAAATCAGTGGATTGGGAAAGGACAAGTTAGGAATTTGGGTGGTATAAAAAGATGACACTATAGTTTCAATTTATATGTTTTATTAGTAAGTAGAAAACAAAAGTGTCACAGCTTTTGTAAGCGTTTCAAAAGTCAAAATTAATAGGACAGTTTCGACCTTTACTTGGTCCTGTATATTTTTGACTTTTCACCACTTCCTTTTATTTTTTGGTTACTTATCTGAAAAGTTGTTTTGACTTGTTTTTCTTTTCACCATGAAGCGTTACTGTTTAGTCAGAGTGGCAATTCTCGTAAATAAACACTTTAGCTAAGGGTTATTTTGGTGTTTTGTCAACTCTCTACAGGCAATGAACGCGAATCAGAGTAGTATGCTAATTCTTCAGGAGACATGCATAGACGCATCTGGAGCGCTTGTAGTCTACGCGCCTGTCGACATTCCCGCCATGCATGTTGTGATGAACGGTGGAGATTCATCCTACGTGGCTCTCCTTCCGTCCGGTTTTGCTGTTCTACCTGACGGAGGCATTGACGGTGATGGTGAACAGCGACCGGATGGTGGTGGATCCCTCTTGACGGTGGCGTTTCAAATCCTTGTTAACAATCTCCCAACGGCAAAACTGACGGTTGAGTCGGTGGAGACTGTCAACAACCTAATATCATGCACCGTTCAGAAAATTCGGGCTGCTTTACAGTGCGAAAGCTAATCCTTGTGGTTCTCTTTCTTAATGAGTTGTGAATTTTATAACTTTTTTTGGTCTTGTACTATGGGATTTGGGGGGGTGTCGAGTCAAGAACGAACCGCGCGAGTGGCGAAATCCAACTCCTTTGTCATCGTGATGGGACCACGACATAAAAGGGTTCGGGTCCGATCACGGTGGAGGAGTTGGTGGTTCGGGTATTGACTGGGGTTGGAAACCCCCTATTATCCTTTTTGTTTGTGTTTGTGTTTTTTTTTGTCGAGTATTATTATTATTATGTAGCGCGAGTAAGCCACACGCGTGGGGTGTGTTGTGGTTAGAAAACGCGAACTTTGGGATGATGTTATGTTGGATGGGATCTGTATCGTTTCAAGTTTAAAAAAAAAAGCTGTCTCTCGTGGAGCATTAAATGTATTTTGCAGGACTTATTCATTCATTTAATGCATTCCTTTGGCTCCTTCCTTTGCATGATATGGGGCTTACGTATTCCGCCATTTTCGTTGCGCCACGTCATTCCTTGACAGACTGGTGCGAGGAACTAGACGTTACGCCGTCGTTTTCTCCCTTCTGTTTTTTTTTTTCTTCTCTCTATTTTATGTTGTTTTTAAGTTGCAGACTGGAAAGAAGAAACGTAATAAGCAAGAAAAAAGAGAGAGAGAAACGTACGTTAGTGGGCTTTATTTTAAAGCCTATTAACATATTATGGCCTGGCCCGTTATGGCCAATGATTCCTAGATCTTATACATTAATTGGGCCTATGATAATAATATCTTGTGCCCATTATTTATCCGTTCATTTTGCAAAGGCTTACATTGATACTGCTCTGATAAGCCCACAAGGCAACGGTTCGAGAAGTAGAAACAGTTCCTCATTAACATTTCTTAGCTAGTAACTAAACTAAACTAATATTTTATTTTACTTCGTTTCTCAATCTAATGTAGTAAGCTTATGATCTATGTAAAACAATAAATTACTTGAATTGTTGTTATAGATTACCTCATAGGATGATGATGTACTTGGAGTTGAAATTTTGAACAGACATTATTAAAAATGTCTAAAAACAGTAAGAAATAAGTATAATTATCTGTATCTTGCAGCAAAAGAGGGAAGTGGTCAAAGATGGTCAAATAAATAATACAGAGCCCGCATATTCCGCGTGGGCTAGATGCAATCATTCAAAACCCCAATCCTTTGCCTAATCCCGGATACGTGAATAAACAAAGAATACAGGGGTATTTTAGTAAACACAGCTTGTCGAAATCAGGCGGATTCATCGTAACCCGTCGGATGAGTTGCTGCGATAAATCAACGGTGAGGAGTCAATGTTTGACCAAAAAAAAAAAAAAAAGAGAACGAGGCTGGCATGATTGGCTTTGCCCACGAGAGAGAGAGAGAGAGAAAGATTCCACCTGGTTGGGTCGTCAAGAGAAGAAACCGAAGAAGCTCGAAGAAGGACGACGCACAGGAGATTCTTCCTTCCCCCAGAGTTTTCGTTTGAAGAAGAAGAAGAATCCAAAACCCAGATTTTTGGTTTTGCTTTTGGAGTATTCGAATTTGAAATATCTGAATCTGTTGATTCCCTTTTTTTTTTGTTGCTTTCTCTCTCTCCACATGAAGCTGTGGTGGTGAAGATTTTCGGAGATTTAGGGTTTCTGAGTTCGTCCTCTCTTGGTTGGTGAAGATGAACGTGATGCGTCGTCTCAAGAGCATTGCTTCGGGTCGGACCTCGATTTCTTCGGATCCTGTAAGTATGCCATTTTCAATGTCAGATTGATTTTATATTTCTGATTTTGCAGGAAAATCTCTTTCTCACTTTTATGCACATATTACGGATTGATGTCGTTTATAGTATGTTACAAGTCAAATTCAAGGCTTTGAGATCTTTAGTTTTTAGATATTCTAGTAATGCTTATGTTTTTTGTACGGCTTTGATTTTCTCTGCTGTGCTGTTTCATTGATTGTGGTATGAGTACTGTGCTCTTGATTGATGATAAATGTTGACCTGACCAATTTTGGTGTTTGTTTCTGAGATTTTAGGGTGGGGACTATGCGTTGAAGAGAGCCAAGCTGGATCAAGAGAACGACAACTTGTGTGCTGATCCTATGCAGGTCGACCAAAATAGTTCTTGTTTTGAGATGAAAGCTGACATTTTGTCACATGAAAGTGTTGCTGGAACGTCAAATGTGCCTGCTGCATCAGAAAAAACCGTGGATGATCAGCTTCCCGAAGTTATGATCGATATGAGGATTAGAGACGAGCGAAATGCCAACCGCGAAGAGAAGGTGACTTGTTTAATCAAATTTTATTATATGGCTTCTGGTTATATATATCATCCTAATCTCCATTAGCCACGGCTCATATCTTCATTGGCTTGTGCAGGATATGGAAACAACTGTTGTAAACGGCAGTGGGACCGAAACGGGACAAGTTATTACAACCACAGTCGGCGGTAGAGATGGAAAGCCTAAGCAGGTCATTCAACTAACTTTTTTGCTGATTGCCATTGTGTTTGAGAAAAGCTATTAATCATGATACTTAAATTCTTTTTATGAAAAGATGGTTTCTCTATTCACTTCTCTTCTCCTCTGTACGATTAGTTGGATGTATCATTAAATTACTCTTTATTACTTGTTTCAGACAATCTCATACATGGCCCAGCGAGTGGTTGGAACCGGCTCATTCGGAGTGGTGTTCCAGGTAGGTGGAATTTCTTATAGCAGGAACAAAACTCATCCTTAACTTTTTGTGTTCCCGGAAGTTGACTTTCTGTCTGATTTTTGTATAGGCCAAGTGCTTGGAAACGGGTGAACAAGTTGCAATTAAGAAGGTTCTGCAGGATAAAAGATACAAGAACAGAGAACTTCAGATCATGCGTTTGCAAGACCATCCCAACGTTGTGCGACTGAGGCATTCTTTCTTTTCGACAACTGACAAGGATGAGCTATATCTCAACCTTGTCCTTGAGTATGTTCCCGAAACTGTATACAGAGCATCTAAGCACTATACCAAAATGAATCAGCATATGCCAATTATCTTTGTTCAGCTCTACACATATCAGGTGAACTCTATAAGCTCTCCAGTTACTCGTTCCTAGTAATCTGTGTAGCATAAAGCTTCAGATACCTGGGAAATTTATATTTTTACGTATGTTGATTTTATCATTTCTGTTGCTTTATTGAATATCAGATTTGCCGTGCGCTGAACTACTTACATCGCGTGGTTGGGGTGTGTCACCGTGACATCAAGCCACAAAATCTACTGGTATAGTGTGAATATTTTCTGTTTTGAGGTGGTAAGCTGTATGAAAGGATAATACATTGATTCTCTTATGATGTGTCTTTCATAGGTTAACCCCCAAACTCATCAACTAAAAATTTGCGATTTTGGAAGCGCAAAGATGTTGGTATGTTCATTTCGTTTTGTTGAAGTGTTCTGGGAGACGGGTTATCATTTGAATAATGATGGCTAACACCCTTTGCGTCTTCAGGTACCCGGTGAACCTAACATATCCTATATATGCTCCCGGTACTACAGGGCCCCAGAACTTATATTTGGGGCGACAGAGTATACCAATGCCATTGACATGTGGTCCGGCGGTTGTGTCATGGCAGAGCTTTTACTCGGTCAAGTGAGTATATAACATATTGCAAAGTTTAGGTTATGGTGAACCATTTTATTTTTGATTGATTAGTTACATTGTTACTTCAGCATCACATTTAATCTGATTTGAATTGTTGGTTTTCCACCTGTAGCCACTGTTTCCCGGGGAAAGTGGCATTGATCAGCTGGTGGAGATAATCAAGGTACTTACTCTGATCCCTCATGTTCCTTCATCTCTTTTCAATATTTCATGTTTACTATCTTACTAATCTGTTCATCTACCAGATTCTTGGGACGCCTACAAGAGAAGAAATACGGTGTATGAATCCCAATTACACGGAGTTCAAGTTTCCTCAAATCAAAGCTCACCCGTGGCACAAGGTTTGTTAAATAATCGCAGGTGCCTCTTTGGTGTATGTGCATGTTTAAATGAAATCTAATGCAGCACAAAACTCTTCAGATTTTCCACAAGCGAATGCCACCTGAAGCAGTAGACCTTGTCTCGAGACTCCTTCAGTATTCACCAAACCTTCGTTGCACTGCTGTAAGACTAAATCCTACTGGACACCACAAAACTATATAACCTCCATTGTGTGATTTGGAATTTTCTAACTCAAGTTCTACAAAACACTTTTTTGCATTTGTTTAGTTGGAAGCTTGTGCACACCCCTTCTTTGATGACTTACGGGATCCGAATGTTTCACTGCCAAATGGAAGAGCACTACCTCCATTGTTTAACTTCACTGCCCAAGGTCAGTACATAAATTATCTTTACCTTGTCTTCATTGTTACAAAAATTGTGGAGTTAGCCAACTTTGTTAAGAACTCGCCATCATATGTGAAGAGTAGAAATTGCAGCAGGATAAAATAAATGTTTGATGGATTGGGTGTACATTTGGTTCTGTCTCATTGATTTGTTGGCATTGTGTTCGACTGTTCAGAACTTGCGGGTGCATCAACAGAGCTGCGACAGCGTCTAATTCCAGCGCATTGCCAGGGAACGGGAAGTAGCTCTTAGGATCATTTATAGTGTGTCCAAATCCAGCTTTCTTTCTCTCCCTCTATTTACTGCAGTGTGTACATCAATTTTGAACCACTTCTGCTTCCAAGCTTTGTTGCCGGAGGAGAGTCTGGAAATCTGCACGCCGGGACCCGAGTTGATGTGAAATAACTGTGTTCATGGAGCTTCTTCTTCTTCTGACTAGCCTCTCTCTCAATTTGCTCTCCGTTTGTTTTTTTCACCTTCACTTTCATTTTTTTGTTTTTTTCTTTCACAAATCTGACCCTCTTATATGTTTGGTGTATCATTTTTATATGTTTGTAATCCGTCAAGACATTTCCCTTGCCCTAATATCACAAGCCTTTTCAGATAAGATCAGTTTTATGAAAAAGCTTATGCCCGCAGGAGATATGTTTTCAGAAACAGGGGCTTGCACCATTTTCTTTCCCCATAAACAGTCATATATAGGACAGCAATGTTCAAAAGAAAAAGATTGATAAATACGAATTTGAAGATACAGATTTGTGTCGGGTTAAAAATTTGAATGATCCACCCAACTTTTGGGAATTTAACCACAAAACCCCTCTCACTGTGGACTGTCAAGACAGAGTTCATACATATTAGTCTGTGTGACCAATGGATCAAAAGAAACAAAACCTCTTTTGGTTTCTGCAATAATGGTTTTTCTTTAGTACAATAAAGTTTCAGGAAATGGATTTCAAAGCCAATAAAGGAAGTGACTCCTTCAATTCAATGCCCATAAAAAGAGGCACAATAAGAGCAATAAAACCAATCATCTCTGTAGAAGAAGCGGGTCTATAGTTTTGCATCGCTCTTGGAGTATTTTCCCATCACTGTGCTCAAAAGATTCAAACCCCTTTTACTTGGTAAGATGTTCTTTCATCTTTCCCAAAAGACAAATCTTTAAACGCAATATATCTTACTTCACTCGGGAACCTGCATTCCTCTTTGCTTCAAGGTTCGAGCCCTCTTTGAGTGCGATTTGAGATTCCTTCTCCATTCCCAAGAAAGCAAGGGAAGCAGACTGCAGATATGACGCGACATGCCACACGGGAGAGATCACTTGAGCCTGAATTGCATCATCTAAAGCTTCTTTTGGCATGTCACTCATTAGGTAACACAGACTACGGCGAGCACACACTGTTGGAGAGATCATTCCTCCATCAATAAACTGTCAAAAGTTTCAAGAAAGAGAATCAGGCCAATGCTATGTCTTCTTATATTTCATTTTAAGTGCTAAAAAAAAGTCCCGACCTGTGTGTAACACTCAATGGCCTCTCTAAAGTCTTTTTGCCTGAAAGCCACATCACCCTTCTTCTTTGAGTTCAAAGACTCTTGCATCTGGTCTGTCCACATTTGAAACGAGAGCTGCATTGCCAAAACAAAGTAATGCAACGCCATGAAGACCAAGAAAGAAGCTATTCACTGATTAACAGAGCCAAACCACTGGTTTTTCCAACTTAATTCTGAAAAGGTACCTCATTGGTGACACCCTCGTCGTCTTTGTATCCAAGTTTATCCAAGATCTCAAGCATAGCGGTCAGGTCCCTTCTTGAACAAGCCTCACCAAGAGGGGACAGAGGAGAGACTGAACCACTGTGAGGTAGCCCCATTAGAACATGAGATGGGACCTGCAGTTTACAACACAAGGAAACATTTATCTTGAGTTAACAACAGAAACTTGGTCCAAGTTTTTATAATTGCTCCAACAATCAATAGGAACCTCTGTGTCCTTCTGAAGAGGTGTCAAGGCAGTCACCAAAGATTTCGTGTTTGGCCGCTCACGAGCTTCATACTGAAGACAACGAGAAGCCAGGCGTACTAGCTCTGTGCCATCACTATCAGAAAATTGCCCATCTAGGCAAGAATCAGTTAGCGTCTGAAGATTTCTGTCTCTAATCAGATCAAGGGCCTGCATAAACCAGATTGAAAGAATCAGCCGTCACCATCAAGTAAAAGCTGCAATCTCGTAAGGAAAACAAACTTATTTTGGCTAAATTACTTACATGGCTAGGAGGTATATGTTTTCCGCTGAGAAGATCAAGCAGAAGAGTGCCAAAGCTGTATATCACACTCTCTGGAGTAATTCTCCCTGTAAATACACACACAAACAGAACGTGCAACTTAGTCTCAACCATATGAATCTTGGAGAAAAAACCAATGATATACCAGTTCGTAGATATTCAGGAGGGGTGAAAGCAAGATTAGTGCTGTAACTTTTTCCGTCCCGACTATTCTTCATCAAGCCAAAAGTAGAAAGTCTTGGATTGCATTCCTTATTAAAAGGCCCTTCAGGCGTCAGAGAACGAAGGAATAGCATAGAAACATGGACAGGTTCCAAAAAAGAGTTAAAGTGGCTTATACATATATATAACTAATAATAATACCTCATCAAACAAAACCCGGTAAGCATTGAGGTCGTGGTAAAGAGTACGGCCTTTGCTGGTGCAGTATTCAAGAGCTTGTGCTAGATATAAAACAACACGCAGCCTCATAGTCCATTTCATAGGTTGGGTTTCCCCTAGTAGCATAAAAAGTAGACTTAGAATCTTGAGACATGATAACTTCCAAGAATAGCATGGCAAGATTATTAAATGAAAGGCTATAAATAGGAAAAATGATTCTCACAGTGAAAAAGGTGTTTGGCTAGTGTTTCATTAGGCATAAACTCTGCTACAAGTAACCTCTCGTCACCTTCGCAGCAACATCCAAGTAAATTTGCCATTCTCTCACTCCGCAGCTGACCAACCGACCTCGCTTCCTCCTGCACAAAAACCCAATATCAAGATTAAAAGAGATCAAACAAAGTAAAAAAATCCGAAAGATTAAGATGCATACCAAGAATTGTCGTGCATCAGGCCAGGCCATTCTAGTGAAACGCTTGACAGCAATCTTCTTTTGATTCTCCAATTTCCCTTTATAGACAACATTTGGAGCCTTTTCTCCATGCTCAGATACAATATACTCCACAGCAAAACCAGAAGTAGCCGCCTTAAGCTGTTCTAATGTGTACTCCCGGAAATTAGGAACATCAGTGATCTCACTACTCTCTCCATTATCTGCACCAATGAGAGAATGCCTTAGCTTCTTAGATCCAAGTAAGTACTGTCATAAGAAACTGAAAAATAAACTAACCAACATAAGGAGCTTCAAGAACAGCTGTCTTGTGTGAAGAGTTCCTGCAACACTGACTCAGGCTAGAGCATTGACCTCCCATCTAAATAAACCACGCTCCAAAAACTATTCCAAGACTCTAGCTTTTTTTCAGCCCAATGGAAAGCAAAGGTTTTGTTCCAATTAGGAGATGTCTCTTCGTAAACCCAGAAGCTGCAATAAAATCATATCTTAGCAAATCGAATATTCCATAGTTTCTAAATCAGTGAAGTAGAAACTATGTATAAAAGAGAAAGGTCGTACCTTGTCAACTCGACTAGTTACAGCAATAATATAGAAGAAGACTCAAAAATGAGAATCGAAGCAGAAACAGAAGAAAAAGCCCTAAAATCTGCGAAGCAGCTGGAGCCAATCAAGAGCAGAAACCTATTAAGCTAGCTACTACGAACCAACAATGTTTTTGGATCCACGAAGAAATTGACTAGGTTCCTCGATTTCATCAAAGCGCTCGAGAGGAAAACAAAACCAGGACAAGCAAATCCACGTGGTTACAATAATTTTAAATTAGAAAAAAAAAAAAAAAAAAACACGAAATCGAGACAAGAGTATCTCAAAGGAATCGACATGAACGTATGTGATTCATGTGAAGCAAAGCATAAACAAATCCGAAATTGTCGATTATTTTTTATATAAAAAAAAAAGGAACTAGATCAGATCACACAGTGAAGTAGCTAGTAGTATACGTGTATCTAATATATACACATCTGTATATTTCAGATAATTATTATTTGTTGAAATTGAAAGAACAAGACAGAGAAAGAAAAGATAGAATAAGCCAAAAATTAATTTACCGACAAGTTGATGCAATATTTTAATGGGTGTGTGAGAGAGACGAAGAAGGCAACAAAGAATCTCGCCATTACCTTATGCTTATAGAAAAAAAAAAAAAAGTTAATGAATAAATTGTTTATCGTACAGATTTTTGGGGTTTTTAATTTCTGAAAAAATTTAGCACCGCCTGTTAGCGCAAGTGGTCTCTGTTCATAGAACGAGAAATGCTTCTTCGTCTTTCCCGTTGGCTCTTCATGCCGTAATCACTAACGGAATTTTGTAATCAAGCAGATTAATCAAGGAGGGAACTAATTAAACACTAAAACAGTACTATTAATTAGTTTTACCCTACTGATGCCCGCGTCGCGATAGTAATTCAACCTAGTACGAGAGGAACCGTTGATTCGCACAATTGGTCATCGCGCTTGGCGTACTGATCGACGATCCGTCGTACTGATCGATTTTTCCTCGAGGATTTCTCGAACGTTACTATTTATTGATGTATTTTAAGACTTTCGATCGTAAAAAACAAACCTCAAACGCTTACAAAAGTGCCTATGGGAAGACTAAGACAAGAAGAACACTTGGAAAAAAACATACAAAGACTTGGTCAAAAAAAAACATAAGAGAATGCTAGGCGAAATACTTTTACTTTGTGTGAGGTAGTTCTCAAGCTCACACCGCCAAGTTATAAGAGCTAAGAATAAACATCTCCAGCACCTATCCGGGCGATGAAAGTCCAAGGAAATGAAAACTGGTCCGTGATGTGACGTTGTTTTGTTCAAGGCCCATGGGCTTTTATATTTTGTCAATTATTGATCTCAAATTCACGGATCTGGTTCACCTTAAATCAAACCGGGTTTCTTAGGATCTAACCGACTCTGTTTCTTCCTCTTCTTCTGTTTAAAAGCTCGATCATATGTGTAACGGGTGATTATGATTTTTCATATTAGGTTTTCTGGATTCGTTGATTCTTGCGTTCCCTTTTGTGTTTTTGAGCTTGTATATATATTCTCTGTTTCAACGTTGCGTATGTGAAAGCAAGTGATTTGATCATCAGGGTTTGTTTGCGATCGATCACCGTTGTTAATTTAGAGAACGAGTTTACGAATGCAAGATTCTCAACACATATCGACTGATAAATACATATATTCAAAGAAGGGAGTTTTTTTACATACATGTTTGTTGACTCCTCTATCCAAAAGAAGATTCACAGCATAGAGTCGGTCATGGCCGGAAGTCGCCGGAAAAAGTTGACTGGAGCTGAGGGAATGCGGTGTCGAAGCTTAGGGTGTCGCATGAAGTAGTAGCCCGATAGGAGAGCCACGAGTTTAAATGGGGTGATGTAGAGAGCCATGGCAATGATGAAACAGAATGTCACGAAAATTGCGGTGGCGCGTGGATCACGCCAGCTCAGCAGCGCCTGCACTCGCTCTCCCTGTGCCGCTATGTCTCCAGCCACCGACTGTACCTTCCCGGCCACACTTCTCAGCCGGTCGTACCTGAGAAACAAGAACACAGAGGGAGGAACCAATGAACAAGTTTTTCTTCGTTTTCGATTATCTTTGATCATTCTTGATTTTTGTTACCTCATTTTCACAACGTCCGGAGCCCTTACGGTCGGGAAGGTATCAAACTCTTCGTCGAGCTCATCAGCATTCACATTGTCTGCATAAGATAGTTTGGCGTCCATATGAGGAGGAAATCTGGGCTTAAACCTGTAATTCCACATCCCAATCACAGCCATATACAGAAACACAGTGGGCAAAATCATCTCCGGGAACGTCACAAGCATCGTGTACAGCACGTGCACCAGAGCCGTCGTCACCGGAGTCTTCCATGTGCACACTTGTTCCATCCATTTCCAGACCGACAGCGCACCCGAGAACACCGTCGTGAACCTATTGAAGTTGGCTTTGCTTCGCCTCATGCTGAACAGATGACTTTTCACATCTGTCAAATACTCAATCACTTCCCGTCTCAGCGGTGGCTCGGACCGGCCTAAACGAACAACAATTATGTTGAAAGCCTGCGCCTTGAGAGATTCCAGTTTGTTTGTGGATAAGGGTAGTATGTAATGCATTTTAGGCAGGAGAGGTTTGGTGTATTTCATCAGCATATTGGAGACCGATATGCAGGTGAATCTCACCGCTAAGTGAAGCTCCCCTCTTTTCTTAAGACCAGAAGGTTGTAGAACAAGTAAAGGGTAAGCGTGCGTGTAGACACGGCCCGTCTGAAGAGTCGAGAGTCTAATGCGGACTTTCCCAATCGGCTGATCTCTCTTGTTTCCGCCATCTCCAGCTGTGAAATGAGCGTTATCAAAGACGCAGATGGTTAAAACTGTTGCAGGATCAAAAACCTCCCATGTGTATTGCTCATTGTACTTTGGATTCATGTTGCTGACTACAGTTCGTGATCGAACCCATTTGTGACCGTATTTGGCAACAACGTATGTGTCCGAAGTACCTTTCCCTTCCCGAGTTTTCATCGAATGAGACACATTTGCGTTAAGTATCCCGAGCTCCAAGACTCCGATCGCTGATTTCCAGAGCTTTCTTGACGAAGGTCTGAGATCACTGCTGTTATACATGGACTCATCAAAAACGTGGTAGCCTCCATCAAGAACCGCCTTATAACGGAGCCTTGTAGCGAATTTCACTTTCTTGGCTTTATCAGCATCCATAGCGTCTGAGATGGAGTCTTCGAGATGAACCCAGCGGTCATGAAAAGGTTTATCATCTATACGTTTCTCAATGTCAGTTATCGAAATCACAGCTTTTCCTACTGGCTCATCTCTGTTAGGAGCAGTGTGATCTTCGACGGAGAGGACCATGCTTTCCTCAAACGGCTCTGCGACTACAAACGTGAATTCATCACCCCATTTTGGATTATTGCTTCTCTGGGAAAATCTAGTCATTAACATCTGATTACCGACTTTTATCCTCACAAAAGCTTCTGGAAGACGGGATTTATCAGAGACGATGATGACGTCCTGAGCCTCCAATATTTGCACCCTTAGGTACCATAGCCGAGGCGAATGGTACACTTTTGAGCGCAGGTTAGCGGATATAATGTTGGAGCTGTCTGAAGACACAAATGAATCTGAGAAAGTCGCATCCCCGAAAGCTTCATCAGCCTGAGTTCCAGACCACACAGCAAGCATTATCTCATAATTCTTCTTCTCACCTCTCTTGTTTTCCAATCTGTACCACTCGGGAGCTAAAGGACTATCCGGAGGAACGCGAGACTGAACCTCACGGAGATCGAATTTAACGATCCCAACAAAATCATCAAGGACAATGTCTTTATCTTTCACCACAACTTCAAGAAAGTTCGACTGAAGATTATCTCTTGCGAAGGCAAAGACTTGGTTCCACTCCGGATCTGAATTCTTGTCAAAATGCGTGGTAACACCTCTGAAGTTTCCGATTTTTACTTCGACATACGGGTCTAGGCTTCCGGTAAGGTCTTTGTTGGGAAGATCACGCGCCTTCACAACTCTTACGTAGAGGAATCTCATCTCTTCAACGAGATCATATGTGCCGCTTGTTGGCCTCTCTGTACCACGAACCACTCGTCCTCCAACGATCCGTCCACCTCCAAGCAAAGGGCTTGTCTCTTTGACAGAGAAATCTGGTGGCAGCTGGTGCAAGGATGGACCTGGACTGTTGACTTGAACCACTCTTGGGGGCATCGGTGCAGCTCTCATCTCGTGGATGCCATAGTTCATCATTGGCTGTTGTTTCACTAAAGGGGCAGCGTTGTGAAACGTACGTGTTTTAGGCTTTAGCTCTCTTCTCTCATCAGCAGCCATACTTGCATCAGCTGTGATTAAGGACTTCACATGTTCTTTACGCGGACTTGGGCTAAAAGCTTGAGGAGATTCTGGAACCGGGGTTGGGACAGAAGGTGTAATAGCAGGATCGTCGGTGATAAAAACTCTCAAGCCAAGTTCTCCACGTGCTCGAGAGAAAACACTGCGTTTCTCTAGAGGGTAATTGAAAGGAGCTGCTTCAGAGCGAGGAACAAAAGATGTTCCGTTGACTCGAACTTTGCCAAGAAAGGGCTTAGCATCGAATTCGTTCTGGTAGCTGTAGACGTGGGCTTCGAGTGTACGATTTGACAAGACGGAAGGATCAGAGACAACGAAGTAAAAACACTCCTGCCAGACAGGATTTGGGTCGTTGTGTTTGGTGGTTGTGCGGAATATCTGGTTGTCGAACTTGAGCTCCACGAAAGGGCTACATGAGTTATGCTTGTCTCTCTGAAACAGACCCTGTGCGCCTATCACTTCAACGCCTAGCTTTATATTACTCATTTGAGGCTTAGGCTTTTTTCAAAACAACTTATCAACTGCAGAGGAAAGGAGATTCCTAAGTTTCGAGCCAGAGATCAAACAAAGACACATAGTAAATTAAGAGAAAACTCTGAAACACGAAACCAAAACCATGGACTTTTAAAAGAAGAGGTGAATAACGAGTAGCAAGAACAATAAAGAGTAACCAAAAAAGGGAGGAAAAGAGAACTTACCTATTCAATTTTTAAAGTTTTTTCTCCTCTTCAGAAACAGAGGACAAGAACCAAAAAGACATAACTCGCCTTTAAAGATCAATCACCTGTCGTAATCAAGACCAGTAAACGAATAAACAATCTTAGTTTCTAAGAAAAACAAGGCAAATAAAAACAAGTGTTAAAGATTTCTCTGTGAGTTCGTGTTCTGTTTTACTCTATGGTACTTACTAAGTTGGTCGTACGTACCTCTGTTTCCATGGAAATTGCCGGGTTGCTTTGAGAACCGCAGTCTGATTTTGACACGTGTACCTTTTGTGGCCCAAATGAGGACCAATCATATGAAGCATTGACCCCCACAAGTCCACAACCCAAAGTTAAAAAGACGTTTTTTTGTTTGTTTGAGCCTAATCGTTTGTTACGCAATTATTAATGTCAGGTAACGTATTTCTTGGGTTTAAAAATATTAAAATTAGAGCATTCCTGTTTTTTTGTGGATGTTATAATCAAATCTCAATACATATATTATAAACTTTTTTAGTTTAATAAATCATATGTAATAGATGTATCATTTTAGAACAGCTTGTTGCGGATGATTGCCAAAGGTTAGCTACGTTTGGAATTTTTAAAACGAAGTTGGAAAACGCCAAATAAAAGTCAAAATAGGTACGTATTATATACGTACAGGAAAGACAAAATCCCTGAAAGACTTTGAAGTTTCTTCTTAATAACGATTAAATCTCGTTTTCTTTGTAGGAGACGTATCACTTTCGCAACACGTCTCTAGTATGAATACGTATAAACAATAATCTTTTTCCTTAACAAGGTTTTACTTTTTTAATTGCATGCCGTCAAATGTAAAACCCTCGCTTATACATAAGATTAACAGTTAACACTCGTTAGATATTTCATATTTTTGTGTGTGTGAGCAGCATATTCATGAATAAATACAACCCCAAAAAAACCAAAGATGCTTAAAAGTGAACATAATAGTAGCACACAAGGTCACAACTCACAAGCTAGGCTCTTAAAATCCAGAAGCAATAATTGGAAATTGTTGGGCCTCTCTCTCTTTAACGATCCAGTGAATTCATGGGCTTAATGGTACGTTTGGGCCGCATAAAACAATATATAGTTATATAGCATAGAGGCCAAAGTCGAAGATCAAAACTAGCTGCCCAAGACCAACCATGACAAAAAGAGAGAAGAAAAAAAATATAAAACATTTTCATCATGAAAACTTTAACGCTCCAATGATCTCCCGACCAAAGTTGAGCTCAAAGCAACAAACACAAATAAATAAAGATATAGATGTATATCAAGGACTAAAACTATATATAGGTTTGAAAAAATGGGCACGACGTGATAGCATCAAAGTTATCTATTTTAAGACGTGATCAGCCTAAAGACCAAAGAAAATATCAAAAATACCAAACTTTGTGTTTTTCCACAACCTCATAAACCCCACAACCCTCCTCACTCTTCCCTATCCCCTCCATTTTCCCAATCACCAAACACAGGATTAGAGTTCGATTTCTCCAAAGAAAACATGGTAAGTTCCTACATTTAATCTTCTGGTGTAGATGATGGTGATGCATTGATTCTGTTTATGTTCTGATTTTACATCCACCGAAAAAGAGATTGTAAAGATGTGAAATTTATAGGTGGATGGTGTTGTTGAATGTATATGGTGATATGTTGATAGATTCCATATCAGAAACTAAGTTTTGTGTTATTTGGTTTGGAGGTGTAAAACATGAATAGGTTTCATGTATAAATTGACTTCGTAAAGAATAGTGTTGTGAACATTGGTTTATATGCTATGATGATTCCAAATCAAAATCTAAGTTTTATGGTATTTGGTTAGGAAGATGTATACAATGGAAAAGGTTCATGTATAAATAAATGAGTGTTGTGCAGGCTAATTCAGCGTCTGGGATGCATGTGAATGATGAATGCAAGCTTAAGTTCTTGGAGTTGAAAGCAAAGAGAACTTACAGGTTTATTGTGTTCAAAATTGATGAGAAGGCTCAGCAAGTCCAAATAGAAAAGCTTGGGAATCCAGAAGAAACTTACGACGATTTTACCAGCGCTATCCCTGATGACGAATGTCGATACGCAGTCTATGATTTTGATTTCACCACAGAGGACAATTGTCAGAAGAGCAAGATCTTTTTCATCGCGTGGTAATACATTGCTCTCCCACATGATCTGAAATCGTTGTGTATCTCTAAATTGATGACAATTGTATTGTATTCATATCAGGTCACCTGATACATCAAGAGTTCGGAGTAAGATGTTGTATGCAAGCTCAAAAGACAGGTTCAAGAGAGAAATGGATGGAATTCAAGTTGAATTGCAAGCAACTGATCCAAGCGAGATGAGCCTTGACATCATCAAAGGACGACTCAATCTCTGAACAACATTCTATTCAAATTAATGTTAAACTTTGACATGCCATTTTTCTTTGGATATTTCTGCTTTTGCTTGTCCGCTCTTTGCATTTTGTGTGGATTCAATGTCTTAAAATTGTTTTGTTAAGAAAAAAAGGGATAATTGAATTCATCTGCTTTGTGAACCATTTCATCTAATAAAGGTGGTCAAGTTGTATAAGAGAAACCAAGCATATACTACTAGTGTAGGTAGAAAAAGAAGAAGATACTTTCCAGATGATTCCGGAAATGTTGAAATGATACTTTCCTTTAAAGATGGTCGATGGTGTGGTTGTCCTAGATCACACAAATAAGTTCAAATGAGTCTTAATGCACACACAATGAAGAGTGGCAAAGTAGAAGCATACACTAAACATTACATTTGTGTTGTATGAAACAGGAAACGAAGAGTTACATAGAAAGTAAGAAAAACATGCATGTTAAGATAGCTTGAGCAGTTTCTGAATATGCTCCTATCACACACAAATGTTTTCAGGACAAGCAAACGAATAGTTACATATTACCAATACCGGTTTGAGGGATAGAAATCTCCATCTGTCAGTCCACCAATGGATTTGATGCATTTAGGTCTTACTCACGAAATCTCTTCTGGCGTGAGAATCTTTAGCAATGAGGATCTTCTGCGCACAGAACCCCAATTTCTTCGAGAACTCTCTCTCTCTCTCTCTCGGGACAGAAGGAGAATGTGCACAAAACCATCAACATTGGGATCGAGAGACCTACAGAAGTTGGCGACTAAAGAGAGAGAATTCGGAAATTGATGATCTCTGACGACCCGGCGGGAAAATTCCGGTGAAATGACATGGAACTCTCTTTAGCAACACTATCCACTTGTCGATGGGCCAATTATTTTGTCAAAAATCAAGATCCACAAGTAAAAAATTATGGAGCATTTAGATTATTATCAAGATCGATCAATTGGTGCGCTCAACCAGATGTTGATGGTTTAATGGTTTAAACTCTAGAGTTACATTGCATAAGGTTTTTGTTTGTTTCAACAAATACTTTGTATGGAGTATTTTTCAAAACAAGATTAGTATAACAACAATTCAATCAATTTGTAGATATAGTCATAGTGAAGTTACTCCTTAGTGTGGAATGCTTTGGCATATATTGAACACATGCATCTTATTTTATTTTTAATATGAGGGATTCCATTCTTCAATAAAAATACAAAAACACAAAACTTTGGCAAGTGTGTTTATTCAATAACAAAATGATACGTTAAGGGCAATTAAAGAACACATAGTGCTCGCCAATCAATCTGATCAAGATTCGCTAATCTGCAAGCTGTGATATATATATATATATATATATATATATATATATATATATTCCTTGTGACATATACCGAATAAATAAATAAATAAGCAAATGAAAAGACAAACACAGAACGGCCACCATTAATTAAAAGTTTAAAACCAACAATGATGTTCAAATATTCCCACAAGGCATAAAACGACATCTTTTCATGAATTCATTGGAACCGACAGTTCCAAATTTTCAACCTTTTGCTGTCGAACATATCTGCTACATGTTTATAAATAGACTAAATGTGCGTTCAACTAGCAATTACAAAGCTTGAAGCTCATTTTCATTCAAATGGAGCCAAATATTCCGATCCAAAGAGGTAATCATATCACAGAGGTTTAGTATTGTTTAGTTTCATGTTATCTTAATTTTTAGTTATTACTTACTACGACATAGGAGAAGAGCAGTCAAAAGTCATCAAGGCATGGAAGGAACTAAAGATAACAAAGGTCAACAACAAGTAAGTAACAACACAAACCCTTTTCAGCGTCATTTCAGTACCACTGTGACAGATTCTCTGATTGCAGGACTCAGAAGAAGCTCCTAGATATTTCAGGATGGGAGAAAAAGAAAACTACAAAGATCGAATCTCAACTCGCTAGAATTCAGGTGATTCCACAAAATAAGCATCTACCAACTCCAAAAATATAAGATCTCTATACTCATGACTCATGTATGCTTAAGACTGTTCTATCGCTCTAGTATATGATCAAAAACATGAATCTATCTAAACAACAAGCAACTCAAATGGTACTACAAGACTATAAAACATGAAATCTCATGTTGTCAAAGAACAAACAAACAAACAAAAAAATTGTTGTTTTCTACAGCGGAAAATGGACAGTAAGAAGATGGAGAAATCTGAGAAACTAAGGAGCTAAAAAGCAGCAGTTCATGCAAAGGCACAAGAAAAGAAAGCAAATGTTCAAACCAGACGGGCTCAAGAGATTCTGAATGCGGAAGAAGAAGCTGCTAGGCTTCAAGCAGCCGGACAGATACCCAAGAAGTCATCTTTTAGCTGCTTCTGAGATCAGCACTAACCTGTGATACAGATTATCACCTATCTCCACTATCCTATGTTCATACTTGTATCTTTTATATGTTGTGTGTTTTTGATATGTTGTGTTTTTATCGGTTTTGAGTCTTTGTTTTCTTTCCTACATCATATGTTTTATAGAGTCAAAGTGTGTTTTTAGAGTCTTTTAGTCTTTTATCGAGTCTTTACAGGTTTTAGGTTGCTTTGGAGGAAAACGAGCTGTTTTGGGTTATAAACACACATTTGGAGATGCAGTTTCGTTTAGAAGTGTCAGACGTTTGGCCTCAGATGGAAGACTTCCCACCGTTAGATCTTTCTGAAGTTTTGACACAAGCTAGATGAAGATGTTAGTTTGATTTTTCAAGTGTTTTGATGGAAATCTAACGGTGTATCCAAGAGTTACACCCGAATTAGTGAAGACAGGTCAATCTGGCGAGCATTTGAAGCAGTTGCAGAGCTAGAGACCAGAAGCTCCAGATCGATCGATCCCTTTGTAGATCGATGGATCCACTTCCCTGATGGATGAGAAACGTTCCAGACACTGCTGGATCGATCGGTCCTCCTTTGGATCGATCGATCCCTTCCCCAGACGTATTTTTGGCCCAGATTTGACCCGAGTCACTCCAGATCCGACCCGGCTCGTCTCCTATTGTTTTAAAACCCTAAGCTCGACTCTTTACACATTATCTTTGATATTTTTGAGTTCTAAACTTTGTTCTTTGGTTTGTAAACAACTTTGGGCAAAGGAATCCATCCTCTTAACACTTGGAGAAGATTTCTAAACCCTATTCCTTTTCTATTTTATTGAATCATGTTTTCTTTCATATCTATTTGCCTTTTCTCTTTCTCTATGTGTGAGTAGTTCTCCAATTGGGTTTTAGGGTTCCAATTAGGAGATTCAATGGATTAATGGATTGATTGTGTTAGGAATTCTCATTCTCTAGGTTCTTTGATTCACATGTTCTTAATGCTAGAATAGGATTGATCACCCTGTTGTAGATTCTAGGTTTTTCTATGCATCAAAAGTGTTCGATAGAATGCCTGAAAGAATGTGGATTGAGCAATGTATTTCTAGCCAACGAAAGTTGACGTTAGGACGCATTGTGAACTTAATGAACTTGTTTGGTAATGCGAATTTGACTAGGAAATTGCATGCGAAAGTTTAGTAATCGAATAGTCAAATTTAGTGATTAATGTCTTGAAAGAGAATTGGTCTAAATGTGTTCATGTTCAAGAACGGTTCGTAACTATTGAATTCATTGTCTCATGTTTCCGTTGTTTATTGATCTCTGAAATACCCTAATGCCCAATGTCTTTAAATCTTGAAGTCAAATCGTTTAATTTATTTGCATTTTTATTTTACAAATCTGAAAACCAAACAAACTCTTCGCTTTAGCTAAGAACGAGTCTCGGAAGTCTTTAGTGTACCATTGGTTCTTGTGGATCGACCCCGTATATACTACCTTGCGGTTAAGTGTATCGGGTAATTACTCGAGCAATCAGTTTTGCTTGTGTTGGTCAAGAAACAAGAGACTGCTAAATTCACTGTCCTCAGACCAAATCCTGAACTAATCAACCTATTGACAACACAAAACATGCTAATATAAAATCTGCAACCTGGGAAAATGGAAAAGGGAAAATATCATCTTAAGGTCTCAAGACTTATTATTGGAGTTGGAAAGCTGGAAAAGGATCATGAAAAGAGTCATGAAACCACAGCTCCTTGAAGAAGCATCACAACACTGTAACCACTATCAGTCTACAGCATAGAAAGAAACATAGTATCAAACGACTTGTTAAAACTAAATAAAAGGCTTCACGTTTCCAATACTACCCGGCATTTCAAACCTTCTAGCCTTGAATATAGTTAATCTTTAGAAATAAAGGAATCCCAATGACGCAGAAAAAAAAACATTTCAGAGGTAGAGGCAGAATGTGAAGCCTTTTTGGGTGGTCGTTGTCCTGCATGGCTAGATAAGACAACTGTCTAACCATGGCTTCAACCAACCTGAAACATCGTACAAATCCAAAATATTTTAGGGGTCTCTTAAATGGGGAGCAAACCTAAATCAAAAGAAGACCAATGAGTTGGCCTATATGCATCAACCACATGAACTTAATATATGGCCTCAAATTTATGTAATGTGGCGTTATGATTATGTTAGTTGAAATTCCATCCTTAATCTTTCCAACAAGACTATGTATTGCGTATATATTAAAAGAAACTATCCTAGAGAATCTTGAGTTTACATGATGTAAGCAACTCCGAAAGTAGGAACAATTCAAGTCTGTCTGTAAGAAGATACTACGTACCACTTATTACTGATTCACCTAACAGCAGACCAAGGTGGTTTACCCTTGGTTATTGGCAATAAATTGCCTGATCGATATGTGGAGGAATTTGCTTGATCTCTGTTCCAAGTTCTTGCTCAATCCGGTAACTACAAAAATGTAACACTAAGGTTATACTATGCTGTAGAAAACAATAGTACAAACCAGTCAAGAGAGAAAGACATACAGGTTAAATCGGTCTTCATAAGTGATAAGATTCACAGCTAGACCAAGATGGCCAAACCTTCCTGATCGTCCAACCTGAACAGCAACCAGATATAAAAATCAAATGACATCAATTAACATGTAGGGATCTTGTACAATGTAGACATTTGGTTTTCAGCTTACCCTATGGAGATAAGTTTCTGCATTCTTTGGGAAATCAAAGTTTATCACCACATTGACTGCTTGAATGTCAATCCCACGTGTGAACAAGTCTGCAGCAACCATCATTAAACCATAAACTATTCAGGTAAAGGACTTGGCTGATTTCGCAAAGTCAAATATTAAAACCAGTGTATTTGTCCAACCTAAAGCCTCAACTAAACCCATTCTTGAATTCTAATTGAACATTTATTCATTGTGCTCCTGCAATAACACTATAACAGTATAACATCACTTAGGCATACCAGTACACACAAGATTCCGGCATGCACCATTGCGAAAGTCATGGAAGACTCTGTTTCGGTGGTCTTGAAGCATCTTTGCATGGATGTAAAAGCATGAATACCCAAGTTCTGTGATTTTCTTAGCTAAGAGCTCCACACGATTTACAGAATTGCAGAATATGATTGATTGGTTAATTTGCAGCTGCAGAAGAGGAAGAGAGTAAATGCCAGCTAAGGAAAGAAAGGAAAGAAACAAAAACGATCAATGTAGTTCAGATCTAACCTTGGAGAATAGTGTATTCAAGCAATGAATTTTCTGTCTTTCTTCAACGAAAGCATAGAATTGGGTGATTCCCTTGAGTGTAAGTTCATCCATGAGATTGATGACATAAGGATTCGTCAAAAATCTATCCTTAAAATCCTTGACAGTGACAGGGAAAGTGGCTGAGAACATCAAAATCTGACGATTTTCTGGAAGAAAGCTAATCAAATGTTCTACTGAAGGTTGGAACTCTTGAGACAAAAGCTTATCAGCCTGATGAATAGATCACTAATTAAATTAAATTGGGAGTAATATTGAAAAAAGAAATTTAAGAGGAATAAAATACAAAGTAAGCATCCAACATTTACCTCATCCATAACAAGCACTGAACAATCTTTTAAAACACAAACACCTTTCTTGGCAAGATCCAGAATTCTCCCAGGAGTTCCTACCAGTAAATGAACAGGCTGATACAAACGCATGATATCGTCTTTCAGACTGGTGCCCCCAGTGGTCACCATGACTTGAATCTTCAAATGCTTACCCAGCTCCTTACACACCTGTGATGTCTGAAGGGCTAACTCTCGAGTTGGAACAATTATAACAGCTGCGTAGAAGAAAGGTATCAACAGTAAACTAAATTAGAAAGGAAGCAGTAAACCTTTAAGAAACATATTAATCTAATGATAGAAGCGATGAGTACATAGGTTCACAGGGTTCATTACGATTTACTAATTTTTATAAAGTAACTGGGGTTTAATATGGAACAATAATCTACATAAAAAGCCAGCTTCGATATTCGGTTCTTGTCAGCTACATGAAAAGTCGCTAGCTAGAAGATGCCAAAACTTTAAAATTCTTTTATAACATTGCACCACATCAAGTAATCAAGTAACAACATGGTCCAGTACACAGTTACCTTGAATAACGTTGTTATCTTGGTCAATTTTTTCCAAGACAGGAATACAAAAGGCGGCGGTCTTTCCAGTCCCGTTCTTTGCTCTGGCAAGGATATCTCTACCAGTCAAGGCAATTGGAATACTCTCTTCCTGAATAGGAGAAGGTCTTTCAAAACCCTTCTCATATATTCCCATGAGAAGCTCTCGTTTCAAAAAATAATCTTCAAACTCATTCCCTTTGGTGGCTGTCACATCCTGAAAATGATAACAAGTGAAGAATTGAGAAAATGTCATCCCATGCAACCAAGAATCAATTCACTTTCCCAATAGATTCTCACGCAGTTTTCTTATTAAGTACATTTATCAACAAAGACTTGTTTGCCATGGTAAAAAGTATCATCAACAAGTATTAATTAACGTATAAAACTATCAAATAAGCAAGAACCCTCTGTGTCAGACCACAACAGCACAGTGTATGTAACCTTTCTGTACTTGTGTGAAAAGAAAGAAATCGAAATCCTAATTTACTCTATTTCGTCCAAATACTGAACCTACCTCTGTTCTGTAGCGAGTATCAGGTGCAGGTAGTTTTAGCCTGGCCTTCCAATCTTCCGAACTGAAGAGAAATTATAAGTTATCAAACGCACAAAAATGAAACCAACATTAACCAGTTCAATGCCATAGTTGCGTAAGAAACAAGGATTTTTCACTTCAAATGAAAACAATCACATCCAAGATTTAATTTAGTAGTCCAAGCTTGAACAGCAAACAATAAGGAAAAAAAAAACAGAACGCACTTTGGGTCGATAACTTCGGACTGAACAGTTTTCTCAACTTCTACAACAGCGTCACCATTACTGTTACTGTTACCACCGGGGATCTGAGCTCTTCGAAGCCATTGTTGTTGTTGTTGCTGCTGTTGGTATTGATGCGGCTGAGTCGGCGATTGTTGAAACTGTTGTTGGTGATTCTG